AAACAGTTTTGTGATAAATTAACAGACAAAAATTTGACAAAAAAAAAAGGGAACCAAATGATACCTGCTTTGGCTTGATATTTTTTGGCAAATGATGAAATGCTTTCTTTACTAAGGGCCATGAGCCTTGGTCTTCTAGATTAACTGAGAAGACACTGTACTTCATTGAATGTTGTTTCACAGTAGTTTTGACTCTTCAAATTAACCTTTCTAGTTTAAAGCATTGGCCTCTCCTCTTTCTTCTTTATATGTTCCTCTTTTTTTTTTTTTTTTTTTTTGAGACAGAGTCTCGCTTTGTTGTCCAGGCTAGAGTGAGTGCCATGGCGTCAGCCTAGCTCACAGCAACCTCAAACTCCTGGGCTCGAGCGATCCTTCTGCCTCAGCCTCCCGAGTAGCTGGGACTACAGGCATGTGCCACCATGCCCGGCTAATTTTTTTTTTATATATATATATCAGTTGGCCAATTAATTTCTTTATATTTATAGTAGAGACGGGGGTCTCGCTCTTGCTCAGGCTGGTTTTGAACTCCTGACCCTGAGCAATCCGCCCGCCTCGGCCTCCCAGAGAGCTAGGATTACAGGCGTGAGCCACCGCACCTGGCTATATGTTCCTCTTGATATAAAGAATTGGTCAGTAGTCAAATGGAACTACCTCTTCAATCCTTTTTTTTTGCACTAAAGGAACTCTGGGTGCTGGATACAGTGTTTCTTCCTTCCCAGCTTCAAAAGAATATAGTTACCATTATACCCATTTTTTCATACATAGTAAAATATTGTGTTCTGAAATATATTCTGTACAAATTTGGCTAATTCTGCCTTCTACACTCTTTCACATTACAAAATAAAATATTCAATGTTTTTATCTTGTAGTCCAAAGGCACCTTGAGAGTATTCATTTGAACAATCAGATCTTGCTATTGTCAGCTTAGTTACTACAGCTAACATTCTTTAGGGAGTCGTCTTAAAATCACCTTCTCTAAGTAAGGACAAAGCTTCTTTTGTTAGTGTTATTTTGTTTCTTTGTTCCTTGGTATTTTGTTTTGATTTTCATTTCCTTGCTTTAGGTGGTTTATATTCCCCAAAGATTATGAAGCTGCATTGCTTCAATTTCTCATGCATAAGGACAGAAGATATACACACACAAACACACACACACACACACAAACACACACACACACACACATATATCCCTCACTGCCTACAGAAACATATACCCAGGTGAACTCACTTTAAATAAATGGATGCCTAGAAAGCTCAATGTAAATAAAATCTTCCAAGAGGAAGCTTGCTATCAAAAAGAATTACACCAAGACTCCTATTATAGAGAAAGGCTTCTTTCCTGATCATACTACCTTTTGCTCATATCTAGATTTTCTTATTATTTGTTTAAAAAACAACAAGGAATAACAATAGCAAGGAACAATAGCAACAACTTATGAGAATGAAATGCTTTCAGGAATTTTGTTCGGTTGATTACTTTTCCATAAACATGATACTAGCTACAGTTTGAATATGTCATCCTTGTATTGATATCCCTATTCATTAGCACTGAGCACTATGAAACTCACATAAACTAATCTCTGCTTTGGAGAAGTAAAAACCTAGTTTTGGAACACATTTCAGTAAGAACTAATTAGAGAAGATAAAAATTAATAACACGCTAATTGGATATAGAGAATAAATATAAAAATCACTAGATAGCTTTTGGATTGAAGAAGTGGTCAGAGAGGATGTGACATCTGGAAGATGCTCAGGAGGGAAGGTTTGGATGATAAGCAGAGGCCTGCGAAGAAGTCCCCATACATTAAAACTAAGGGAAAAATGAGAGTTGATTGGGTAAGGGTTGAGGAGATGAAGAGGTTCCTACCTTTGTAGTAAAGGAAAGTAGAAAATCAGTTTACATTAGTAAGAGGGAGACCAAACAATGGGCAATACTAAACAAATTTGAAGAAAGAGTCAATAAAAAGCAAAGATATTTAAAAAAAAATGCTGTGTATATCGAAGAAAAATAAAAAAGGCAGGAAGACCAGCCATGGGGCAATGGCATTAATTTAGAGAGGAAGGTAGTCTAGATTAAGTAGCAACAGAGGGAGAATTAGGAAACCAGTAGTCATTACCAAAGAAAACCAGAATTCCAGGCTCTGTAATGTGTACGCACTCTCCTATCCTTCCATAACATCCATGTGTGGAACCTCTGTTTGAAGCCCTCTCACCCAGCTGTACCCTTTGAAAACTAGAATGTAAGCTCCAAGAAACCGGGGTCTAGCCTGTTTTGTTCACTGCTACATTGTCAGTGACTACAACAATGTCTGATGTGTAGTTGGTCAACAAATATTTCTTGAATATTTACCATTTCAAAATGTAGTTTAAAATCTTTCTTTTGAAAATTTTCCCAATTCTTTCAGGTAACAAAGCAGCAAATCTTAGTGGGAAAAACATGGATTTTGTAATCAAGTAGACTTGTGTTAACTATTGACTGCTACTTACTAGCGTTTTAACTTGGACTAACTAAACGTTTCTGACTCTTCAGTTTTCTTATTTGTAAAGCAAAATATTACCCATCTTGGTGCTATGAGGCTCAGAAATTACAGATGTATGCCCAGCATACATCCAAGCACATATTAATTACCCAATCTATGATAGCTATTATCTAAGAGCAAGTATCACTCAATCAAGCTCTCTTTACAGCTATCCAATGTTGTATATACCTGAATTATAGCATTTATCACTTTGTATCAGATGTCTATCTTCCCTCCCTCCATACACAAACTTTTTAGTACATCACTCATTTCTTTAATGCACCTAGAAAATTTCTCTCAAAATTCATCACAAGCCCTATCTCAGTAAAATCTCTTGTTTGATTAGACTTCAGTACATTCTCTTTGTTTCACATTCATAACTTTGACTCTTGTATCTTAAAAGTATGTATGTTCATATTTGTCTTCATTCCTGAAACATGAGCTCTATAAAAACAGGGATGTTAGCTTCTATTCACACATACTTGGTGCCTACAGATGAGATACATATAAAAGTTATAAAGTTTTATGACACTACATCTGTTAGGCACATGGAAATTAAGAATACTATGCCCATGAAAAGATGTTATCTTCAACATAAATTATTCTTAAAATGAGGACATTAATTCCTAGTAATTTCTTAGTAATGACTGAACAAAATTAAACTCAGACAGGGACTCCATGCTGTCATGAGTTTTGATTAATAAATTCAAGATAACCTAAGAATTTAGGGAAGCATGTCTTATTTATATTTTTATACACATGTTTTAATATTGAAAGTGGTGGCTATTGCATTCTACCTGAGTTTAATTTATGCACTTTTTTATTGGTTCCTGATTCTAAGAACCAGTGATCGCAGGATCTCATTTTGTCAGTCAACAGCACTTACTGAGCTCCTAAGATGTACAGAGCAGAGTGGCTGGTGAAACTGATCATTAGCTATGAAGATACTAGTCTCCTCTGAAATCAGCAATCTGTTTACACAGACAAGAATAATGAAAATGAATGTACCTAGGGTCATTTTCACTTCATACTCTCAGATAAGGTTGACACTTTTAGTGATATCATTATGATATCAAGAGATAAAGCTGCAATATTGAATATCAGTCAAAACAGTGAAAACAAAATCCTTCAGTTTTCATATGGTGTCTTGTAGAATAAACATATAATTGGATTTTATTTTCATTTCAACTAGTTGCTATGGACTTAGCCACAATAAGTAATGATATAACATACATATATATGTGTGCATGTATATGTGTGTATATATTTTTATATATATGTATGTATTTTTAAAGTAAATTATTTTTACTCCTGAATCTAAATTTATGAACCTACTTGAAATTAACCGGTAATATCTAATTAAACATTGCAGGGCATTTACAGAATTCGAAAATCTATTTATGTATTTGAAGAAAGGCATTGATTTTTCTTAGAAAGCATGATGCTCTTAAGCATATTATATCAAATCCAGATACTATTTTTCAATAAAGGAAATAGAGTACTCTGTCTACTAAAAATTATATAAAATCCATATTTTTAAAGTATAGACTCTGGTAGACAGGAAATTCTGAATAAGTAGAACAATACTTCATTATTTATTGATTCATGTCTACCAAAAATGAGACCACATTATTTTATTTTTAAGTGAATGGTACTGGTGAAATGTGGCTATTATAATACTCTACTGCCAACAGATAAACTTACATTCTTTATTATTCTTTATCGATTTATAAATATTGGGGGAGAAAATAATTTTTCAGTATTACACTACATTCACCTTTCAATATTATATAATTTACTTTTGGTACACAGTTTATTAGTGTTTTTGTCTGAGAACGCAATAACATTAAGAAGGACATTTAGCAAACCTAAAATTGGTTTTAGCTTGTAACCTTTTTAGAAAGTAATATGAATTAGGTAGCTATAACTGCCTCACAACCTGCAAACAACAACATCATGCATATGTAAAGTCAAAACAATAGTCTCATAGAGGAGATTTTACTCAAATGGTTACCAGGAGACCTCAAACAAAATGACCAATACTCCTCCAAAAAAACAATGCTTTAATTTTCCAATGAAATTATAGGGATCTCATAAAGATGTGTAAACCAAAGATACAATAGCTGCAGTGTGCCTGGAAGTGGCTAAGCTCCCAAGCAAATCATCCCTATTAGTTCCTATTCATGATTTAAATTATGCTATTTTATCTCTTCATAACATGCGGCATTTTTTTACCCTCACATTTCTAGGCATTTGAGCTTCTGCTGACATAAATGCATTCCCAAAATAGAACGTTACAGCAATCTTCTGCTAGACATTTAAGCCCATTTGTGCATTTATTTTCCAAAATGCCTTTTTTTGAACCTTCTAACTGTGAGAAGGCTGGGAAGGTAGTGTTAGAATGAATGAAAACTTGTTTTCTAAAGCGACACTAGACACTTGATCTGCCGTTAAAAAAAAAAAAAAAATCACAGCCTCCTACCTTGAAAACAAACATCTCACGGCGAAGAATAGCTAGAGTGTTAAAGTTCCCATCACAGATGTTGGGTTTGGCTCCAGGATAGGAGGGTCTGCCGGTGGGAGGCCGAGGAGGTTTTGGCCTGTCATTTTTCCGCGGGTCAGCCGGAGGAATAGAGCGGTGTGGGGGCACTGTCGGTAGAGGTCTTGTAGGTGGAGGGATCTTGTCAGGTGGACCTTTTGAAAATATGAGGACAGTGCTTGGCTCACTTAAAACTGGAATAGTGCTGGAAAACATGCTACAGAGAACAATCACTTATCAGCAGAGGGCACAGACTAAGTGAGCTAAGAGGTCTGTAAGATCATATATTTTCTGAAGAAACAAACCATCTTACCCAACAAAACCACTGCCAAGTCTGTCTGAAGCTGTCCTTATCATGCTAGTTTCTGGATCCAAGTAACTAGGCTTTCTTTGTTAATCTTTAATGATTTTTTTTTTTTTTAATAGCTTCACCACAGTCCTTCTTGGGAAAGCTGCTTTCAGATCTTTTTTGGAAGTAGGTGGTATATAAATAATAAATAAATGAAAATGAATACTGGAGCCATGCATATGAGCTTCACCAAATTAATCCTAGATTTTGATAGACAATGATTCTATGCAAGTATTTCCGAAAGATAAACATTAACTAATCAGAGTTTATTCTAGCCTATGTCTCCAATCATATCACCTCTTACTGATTTTCACTTTTCTTCTAATGAAATATTTTGACAAATTGCTGGAAGAATGTTTCATTTAAATACTGAATCTAAAACACCTATTGATTGAAGCACCACCAGTAAAATATTAATGTGAAAAAGTATTTCTCAAAAGAGGCTTCTAAGTAAAGCCAAAGTTTACACATGTAATTTGGTACAGATGTTAAGCATCATTTCTCAAGGGATTTATGTCTTTAAAAAGAAATACAGAGCTGTTCACACTTAATATTTAGGTATGAGAAGAATATTCCTTTGCAGAGCTTCAGTCTAGACTACTAATTCATGAGGTCATGAGAAAGAGACTTCTTTCAGTTAACCACTTAAGAGGAATTTCTGATGAGACACACTTAGGCATAGGATAGCTCAATTCAACATATGAGTATATAGCTTTGAGTCTGAGACATTTCTCTCCTTTTGGTATCCCAACAAAATAAAGAGAAGCATAAAAGTTGACCTTTTTTTCAAATCTATTTTAACCCTGAGAGAATGGTTACCACTGAGATATTGAAATTGAAAAACTAATGAATGCAAAACAAATTAGTGAACTTAAACTATGCTGTTTAAAAATGCAAATGATATCTTCTGGATAGTGGATATTAACATACAGATAGCACACATTTGTCTTTGCACTGTAAAAATAAAAGCCTCACTTCATTAATTTAGTAAAGCATATTTGCTACATGTAAATTATAAATGTCAAGTTCTTAACAATTATGTGTGAAATAAATGTCTTTATAAAGGTCAATGGTTGTTTGAGGGAGTTAGGATTATAGTAAATATGCATAACTGTCTTTCCCTTTTTCTCTTAATTTGCATTCATTGACTGAACCCCATAAATAAAAATGATATTACTATACTAGAAATTTATTTTATGCTGTGTTAATTAAACTTAACCACTTGTTAATTTTCACTTCCTTGTTTGTTAACTTTCATTCTGAGTCAGTAATTATAGGATTTTGGGGTCAATATGTTACATCTACCACATGAAGGTATTTTCTGGCTCTTCAGAAGTGTTTGTCTGGGAAGTATCTGATAATCAAATCTCATAAACTGTGTGTCAATTTATCAGTTTGTACCAAAGTCTCAGCACCTTATGTTCTTCTTCAATTTTTATCTCTGTCTTATATTTAGAGCATCTATCTTAAAGAAGAAGACATAGAAGGGATCCTGGACCTCACTGTAGGACTGAGCAAATAGCAACAGTGGTAACCTACCATATATCTTCTGGATGCCCTGCAAATCATCATTAGGTAGTTTGAAGTTGTCTGTTTCCATGTACTGGTAAAATGGAGCCATGATGGCAGTGGGGTCGTTGGAATGCTCCAGTCCCAGAGCATGTCCCAGTTCGTGAACTGCTACGAGAAATAAGTCATTTCCTGTGTGAATGAAAAGAAAAGAAGTTATTGTAATTAATTTCCAAATACAGAATTGAAAAGGGCAATTTGGTGTTATCAAAATTTCACCCAAGAAAAATAGTAGGAATTCTTCACTTCAACTGTCAGTATGATTTTATCATTGGCTTTCCTACTGGCAAAGTCCAATATCCTTCTTTTAAAAAGGGGTGGGGGGAGGAGGTGGTGATGGATGAAGTCAGAAGTTTAGAAACTAGAAGGCAAGAACAAAGAATAAAAGTTGAAGAAAGAGTCTCATCATCAGAAACTGATACTACCGTTAAAATATCCTCACAATTATAAAGCATATAATATATACAGCATCTGACTTTTGTAAGATTCACATTTAATATAATTATAGCAACTCAGTAAAAAACATAGGGCAGATACCATCCTTACTTTTATACAGATAAGTAAATTAAGGCACAAAGGAGACAAGTCTTGTCAAGAACAGCAGATCTTTGTATTTACAGAGCTTTTATGGGAACTCAATGTATTATGACTCTTAGATTCAGGCTTTAATTTCTTGCTAGCTGAGAATATAGGAATACAGTAGCATAAAATAAAAGCCATCGGGTAATAGTCATATTATCTGGAATTTTAGTCCAAGCCCTATAAATACCACTTCTAATTACCTTGGAGCTGTTGTTTCTTACTGAAAATTCCCACCAGTGGTAAACTTTAACAGTGAAGTCTATTGAGCAAAAACTCTGCAGTGATAGTTGATGTGACTTTGTGCAATGACACCCTACTCACAACCTCTACATGTTGTCCATTCCTGGATTATCATAACTATACTCACTGTGAGGAAAAGAGGTGGTCCTACATCTATATTTGTTAATTCTAAAAACTTAGTTGGACCATATGAGTATCAAATAGTTGGGGCTATTATATTTCTATGAGTTATATTTCTAAGTGCAAAGTTTAATGGGATTAAACACAAAGTGTAAAATTTACATGGATGACTTGCTAGTAATGCACATAATTTCAATGAGCATCACTCTTAAGAAAATTCCTTTCCAACCTTTTTTATAATGTACTGTAATAATTCCCTTGGGAGGAATATTTTTGGACCCCAAAGCCAGGTGAACGACTAAAAATTTTTTCCCCTTTGGAGTAGTCTGTTATAGAGGAATGAAATCATGGGGCTCATTCTGTATATGATATTATCATATCAAAAACAAGCCATTGGAATAATACTTCCAGGAAATAGGCCCCTGGAAGGGGCCTATCCCAGTAAAAAAATTAATGGAACATGGTTAATAGGTATTATCTAGGGAGCCTATTATAGTCAGAGGAGGAGGAGTGGGGAAAAAAAAAAAGGAAGGAGGAAGTTGTTCACCAAGAAATGTGGGAACTATGCCAGCATTTGCAAGTATGTGATTTAGGGAGAAGAGTTCTAAGCATTGTGTCTCAGAGGATACTCACAGGTGAGAGAAAGAAGGGAAGGAAAAGAAGCTGCAGTAGTTTTAAATACAGAACATCTACTCCAACTTTAAAATGAATGCCTTTGTGATTTCAAATCAGACATACCTTTGCTAAGATACAAATCTGATATCAAGGAGGCTTATGGCTACCCCAAAGAACTGGAATGTGCTATCAATGGACTACAAGCAAAAGGAAACCTTCATTAAGAGCAGACCTAATGGCAAAACAAAGATCTATCAAGCAGAAAAATTGGCCAACAAAAATCAAGGCAATTAAACAAAAAGCAGGAGACTCAAGAGTTGGCATTTATGTTTGCCATGAAAAGCCAGTCACAACTGAGCTCAGCAAGACAGGGCTTATTCAGAAAATCACTTTAGACTCTCAGGGTCTTCTTTTGGCAAAACTGATACAATTTCTTGGTCAGAAAGTCCCAATGTGAGTTTACAGGGATTATGTCTTGTTTTTATTCTTCAAAAGAAAAAAAAAAATTGCAAACTTCATCACCTTCCTCCTTATGTGTCAGATGCCTTTCACTAAAAAAGAAGGACCCTAAAATCTGTTCCTAGATAGACATGCAGGAATATTGCTTTCAGTTATCTGCCAAACTTTTGGCTGATAGCCTAGCTGAATTATTAAAATCACTTCAAATCTCTCATAAGAAAATAATCTCTTGGTCACATTTTTATTTTCATTTTTGGCTAGTAAGAGAAATAGAAAAAGACAATAACAACACAGATAAAAATAGCAAACAGGTCCTAATAGCCAAAGCCATTTCATTTCATGTATCTGTTTTCTTCAGATCATTCAATTTTTTCCTAAGCATCATTTCCAATGGTGGAGTCACTTCTTGCTTAAGGAATAAAGGTTTTAGAAGAAAATTAATAGTATTGGGATATGAACTTGTGACCTTTTGAGTATGCCACAGCATAGTGTGCACTCAGTATTTAATCAGAAATACTGGCCAAGGGCTGTAAGTAATTACCATTCTTCAGATGATTGGCAATAATGTAATTAAACCTTACTTGCAGTTCACAATAGTTTAAAAGGGTAAGTTGTAAATAAAGTATCACCCTGTGATTTGAATTCCACTAGGAACAAAATTTGTTGGCACATGATGAGTTTTAGACAATTAAAATGCATCAGGCCTCTCTTTCCTAATGATGAAAATAATAACTGCTCTTGTAACTTATCATTAATTCACATTATTCGAAATTCTCAATTGTAATATGCCTTGATTTTATCACCATGCAGGCAACAAAGGAAAAATCAGCCTCCTGGTTCTTAATACAGAAATAGTACTTGCTTCTTTTGCAAGATTTTGAGTTTTGAGTTTGTTGCTTTCAGTTGTCTCTCCAATCTCCTTTCCTTTGTGTGCTCCAATACAATTTCAGAATACTGAACTGTATATTATGAAAGATAATGCATTATTTATCACTTCCCTGCCATAATTACATCTATATTTTATTCCAAGCTTTCACCCTTCCATGCATTTTCATATGCTAGTCCCTCTGCTGACATATCCTGAATGTTAAAAAAAATGACTATACAATATTTTACACATAAAAATTGATGTTTAAGTAATTCTAACATTTAATCCTAAAAATCTACTCAAATATTAGGATATCATCGACATTATTGAATCTATCTTTGATTTTCCTCTTATCCCACAACTTTGGCTCCTCCACTTCCTCCAAAGGTAATGTAACCACATCAGACCAATCTGGTTTAACTTTTTTTTTTTTTTTTTTTTTTTTGAGACAGAGTCTCACTCTGTTGCCCTGGCTAGAGTGCCATGGCATCAGCCTAGCTCACAGTAACCTCAAACTCCTGGGCTCAGCCTCCCAAGTAGCTGGCACTATAGGCATGTGCCACCATGCCGGGCTAATTTTTTTCTATATATTTTTAGTTGGCCAATTAATTTCTTTCTATATTTAGTAGAGATGGGGTCTTGCTCTTGCTCAGGCTGCTTTCGAACCCCTGACCTCAAGCGATCCTCCCACCTAGGCCTCCTAGAGTGTTAGGATTATAAGCGTGAGCCACTGCGCCTGGCCTGGTTTAACTTTTTATGGAACAAAATAATGAGTTGTTTTTCAGTTGCTATGGACACCTAAGTTGAAGGTCATGTAACCTGAGCAAACCCAGATGAACCAAGTGTGCAATCATGGGCAGAACCTAAATGCTAGGACAGAGGAGTTGGGGCTGAATTGAGAAGCAGACACTGCATGGCAGGATCCAGGATCTAATTGGCTTGAGCCCTGGCCCTGCTCCATGGCAAGTTCCAGGTCAAGCATGTCTCCTGGTATCACCCCGTTGAAAGATCCAATCAGATCAGACCTCATTACCTGTGACAGTAAAGCCTGTCCTATCCTCCAGCTCTGAAAGACAGATTTGAGTCTGACTCCTGTCTCTTTGTTTTGGATGTTTGGCAATAAACCTTTCTCTCTGCAAATTCCTGGTTGTGCGTGGTAAGTGAACTCAGTTTGGTTCAGTTACAGTAATCACTAACTGGAGGTTTGAATTTCTCATTGCCTTGCTTGCATTTTCATATTTTTATCAAATATGTATGTTTCAGTAAACTTCAGTTTTTCCTGGTGTTTGAGCTTTACAAATTAGTATCATTTTTTATGCTGTCTTCTGAAACTTTCTGTAACTCAGCATTTTTTTCTAATATATATCTTCTAGCTTGACTCTTTGTCAGTCTTGTGAAATCTTATTAATCCTTTAAAACAAAACTCAAAGTAACCTCCTCCATGAAGTCTTCCCTAAATCCCCGGGCAAATTTAGTTTCTCTCTGTCTGTGTAGCCTTGGCCTTTTGTATGCAGCCCGATTGTAGGACACACCATAATTGCCCTGACAACTTCTGATGCTCTTAATATTTACTTGTAGGTTAAATGTCTCACAGAAAAATTTAACAGATTTGTAATTTTAAATATCTAAATAGTGTAATTGTAAATGTTGAAATCCATGTCTAGAATTGAAATTCAGAGATAAACACCAAATCTTTTATTAGTAGAAATTTCTTCAGGGCTTAGTAGATGGGTAGGATGGAATGAGTCTTCCTCTCAGCCTATGCAAACGGCTGGTTTCTCTAGCTGAGAAGTCAAAGATATATGTGGAAGCCAGCCTCCAGGATGACCCCAATGGTCCTCAGCTCCTGCTTTTCACACGTACATTGTGTCAGTTTCTATCAGGCTGCCACAGCAAAATATTGTAGAAGTGATGGTATTTGACTTCCAGCCTTAGGCCATAAAATACATCCATGACTTCCATCTTCTCTCTCTCTCTCTCTCTCTCTCTCTCTCTCTCTCTCTCTCTCTGCCCACCCCCATCTCTTTCTCTTATTAATGGCTCTGAAGAAATCAGAGCTGTGTTATGCAAAGAGGCCTATGTCCAGGGCCAAGTGGTGATAAATTGAGCTTCCTACCAACAGTCATATGAGCGAGCTTGAAAGTGGCTTCTCCAGCTCCTTCAGATTGTTGCAGCCCCAGACAATCACAGTATCCACGAGACACCCTCAGCCAGAACCACCTGGATAAGCTACTCCTAGATTCCTGAC